GCCTAATACGTTGGTCCGCAAGATCTCCAGATCTTAATCCTCTGGATTTCTTTTTTTGGAGATATTGCAAGGAATTAATTTATAAAATGCTTCCCGAAGACATAGAAGACACATCTTGATACAAGATTGCGATATGCCGTTGCAATGGGCATCGAAGAAGATGTGATGCAAAACATGTAAAGAAATTTATTGAGACATATGAGAGCCTGCGTTAGAATGGACGGTGGACATTTCGAGCACCTCTTATAAAATTACTTTATCCATCACAATCAATCTGTTCTTTTTAGAGCGACAGACAGCAATCCGCCCTTTTAAGGGTGACCAATACTTTCTGGAATATCATTACATGGAATATCTCTCTTATGTAAAAAAGATCAAGAGATGAAGAGATTGTACAAGAAATATTATAATAACTTATTTTGTAAAAGATTTAATAATTATTCACCGCGGACGCAACACTATCGTACAGCATTACATTTCATGTAATACTACTTAAGAAGCATTACTCCATTTGGGAGAAAAATCAATGTCAGAAAAATCAATTATACAACATAACATGAAATATTCTAATATTGATTTTTTGATATTAATCGATTTGATATCGATTTGATGCTTTCGACGTCGAACGATATCGAACCGATATCGATTCGATTCTGACTGAGACGTCCGTGTTTTGACAGCGCTAGTACAAATATAACCAATAAAATCGATCGACTGCTTGCTATCGTTGAGTGAACGCGTCGTATATTAGTAAACAATCGTGTGCTTCTTTCTTCGAGTGGTATTCAGTCGACGAATAATTAATCGACAATAAATAATAATCATTTGAAGATTCAGTATTAAAATCAGTCGACTTCTTTCTATCTTTGAGTGAACACGTCGTGTGTTAGTAAACAATCGTATGCTTCTTTCTTCGAATGATGTTCAGTCGACGAATAATTAATCACGACAGTAATTTATAGTAATTAACTAACAGATTCTCTATTAAAATTGAGTGTATGCTATCGTCGAATAAACGCGGCGTGTGATTATCTTTCTTCGAGTTATTTTCGATTACCGAATGATTAATTGATAATAATTAAAATGGATCATCGGTAGTAAAACGAACACTTAACTGATAGAGATACAGTATAATAATAAATTTTTTGAGTAATCATTGAAATACTTCGTTTTGTTCAAGTTAATAAATAGCTGTACGCTGAGCGTAAACGTATCGAAGTGATGCGTAATTTTATAAGAAACAAAGTATTTTAATGATTACTCGATCTGCGTGCATCAATGAGAACGAGTGATTTCTAAACTTGTTAGAGGAATGGAAGTTTAACTGACAAAAGTTTGGAGCTGTACGTGATCCATCAATGATCGATGGAATTTTTTTTGTTTCTCAAGCTGTAGCATGTCGAAGTCATTAACTTATTAATTGTGTGTGTGTGTATGTGTGTGAGAGAAAGAGAGAGAGAGAATGCGATCGCATATGTATGCGTGTGTAGCGATCGTCTGATCGCAACGAGGGTCCCTCGTACGGTCTGTGTCGAACAGTGAGAAACGCCGCTCCTGGCTACCTTCTCTACGCCCTGTCATTCGCAAATTATTTCTTATTATAATTTAATAACTACGCTTTTGACAAAACTTTGGCAAAGGAAAAATCGTCTTAGAATTAAGTCAGAAATGACATTTCAAGGATAATATATTCATTTTGAATCATCCTGTATATATATTAGATGTAGTAAAAAGAAATCCATTATTTTTCCAATCGATGGCTTTAGTAATCTGTATCTCGTCTACGCGTGATACACCTAATATATATACAATATATATATATATTGACAGATCGACGGTATACAAGTGGAAGAATTAACCTTTTAACATGACGAATAACAAAGAACTCGGAGCGCGAACAATATTAGTTTTTTTCGCAAATTGTCTAACGTCTTTGTTCTCGTAGGGATTTTCAGCCAAATGACAGCCAAGGGAAAAGGAAGAGTTCCTGCCAGCGTGGTGCACATCGATTTGATGCTTTCGACGTCGAACGATATCGAACCGATATCGATTCGATTCTGACTGAGACGTCCGTGTTTTGACAGCGCTAGTACAAATATAACCAATAAAATCGATCGACTGCTTGCTATCGTTGAGTGAACGCGTCGTATATTAGTAAACAATCGTGTGCTTCTTTCTTCGAGTGGTATTCAGTCGACGAATAATTAATCGACAATAAATAATAATCATTTGAAGATTCAGTATTAAAATCAGTCGACTTCTTTCTATCTTTGAGTGAACACGTCGTGTGTTAGTAAACAATCGTATGCTTCTTTCTTCGAATGATGTTCAGTCGACGAATAATTAATCACGACAGTAATTTATAGTAATTAACTAACAGATTCTCTATTAAAATTGAGTGTATGCTATCGTCGAATAAACGCGGCGTGTGATTATCTTTCTTCGAGTTATTTTCGATTACCGAATGATTAATTGATAATAATTAAAATGGATCATCGGTAGTAAAACGAACACTTAACTGATAGAGATACAGTATAATAATAAATTTTTTGAGTAATCATTGAAATACTTCGTTTTGTTCAAGTTAATAAATAGCTGTACGCTGAGCGTAAACGTATCGAAGTGATGCGTAATTTTATAAGAAACAAAGTATTTTAATGATTACTCGATCTGCGTGCATCAATGAGAACGAGTGATTTCTAAACTTGTTAGAGGAATGGAAGTTTAACTGACAAAAGTTTGGAGCTGTACGTGATCCATCAATGATCGATGGAATTTTTTTTGTTTCTCAAGCTGTAGCATGTCGAAGTCATTAACTTATTAATTGTGTGTGTGTGTATGTGTGTGAGAGAAAGAGAGAGAGAGAATGCGATCGCATATGTATGCGTGTGTAGCGATCGTCTGATCGCAACGAGGGTCCCTCGTACGGTCTGTGTCGAACAGTGAGAAACGCCGCTCCTGGCTACCTTCTCTACGCCCTGTCATTCGCAAATTATTTCTTATTATAATTTAATAACTACGCTTTTGACAAAACTTTGGCAAAGGAAAAATCGTCTTAGAATTAAGTCAGAAATGACATTTCAAGGATAATATATTCATTTTGAATCATCCTGTATATATATTAGATGTAGTAAAAAGAAATCCATTATTTTTCCAATCGATGGCTTTAGTAATCTGTATCTCGTCTACGCGTGATACACCTAATATATATATATAAATATATATATATATATATATACTTGTATATACATATATATATACAATTATAGAAAATTAGAAAATTATACAAATCTTATAATATTTTAATTCATATATGAAAAAATTCTAAATTTTTAGAATTTCTGTATCATTTTATAACTGTTTAGAAAACATCTCAAATTTTTTTATGCTATTAATCTTACTATATTTCCGAATTTATATATGTATATGAAAAATTCTATTAAAAAGTATAGATGTTTTGAGTATATATTTCTGAAATGTGTTTCAATTTTTATAGTTTTTTATACAGTTGAACCTCCGTAAAGTTAACTTCCATTTTATTTTAACTTCCATAAAAGTCATGTCTTAACCTCCCATATAGCAATCGAGCACATACGCATATACGTATATGCTAGCATATACGCATTTGTTTACTTTTATGGAGGTCCCGACAAATTACTTTTATAGAGATTCGACTGTAGTTCCTACTCACTCCAACGAACACGTTAAAGTAAGAAGGAGCTATGATAGGAACGTGCGACATGAACAAATACTAGTACTAGGTAGGATAAAAAGAGATCGAACCTAAAGAGTGCGTGCGATGAGGATAACTAAGGTTGGCTAAACTGGGACTACAAACGATCATCGAACAAGCGAAAGGGCAAAGAATTAGAGAGAGACGCAAACTGAGTACACCAAGTAATCTTTCCATCATGCTTCATCATCATGGTCACACTTCAAAAAGGCCACACGATGATTACTCTAGGTTAAAATGATCCGACCTATCTTTAAAGTGTTATCAAATCGATAGTATTAGTTGCAATGATTTAAAAAAAGTACAGTATATAATTTCATCTTTTAAGAAAATGGAACAATGGTGTTTTAGTGAAAAAATTAATTTTAACACTAAAAATAATCGTAAACGTGTTAAGTTCGAAAAAATGTATTTTACTTAAAAAAATATAACTTTTTACATTTATAATATTTTCAAATGCAGTCTTAGCCTAGTACTCTTGAGATGATGTACTTAAAAAAAAATGGTATGGTTTAAGAAAACACGCGTTTAAGAAAAGGTATTTATTTTGAATGTAAAAGGTGATCGTTTTTTAAATGTAATAAAGATGTTACATTCGAGTAAAAGGCTATTTATTATTGGTTTAAGTTTATAATATAAGTTATTAATGTCAAAATTGTTATTGTTATTAATCCTGAAGACAAATATAACTAAAAAACATAAAATATAAAAATATTATATAAATCATACATTTTTTAACTAAAACGATGTGTTGGTCATACTTACTGACATTTTGACCCGAAGAAAAAAAAACGCTTTTTACGCGAATGACTGCTAGACTCATACTAACAGTCCGATTAAAAAGCTAATCATCTCTATCGATAACTGAAACTTCAAAACTTCAATAGATGGTAAACACCCTTCCGAAGGCAAGATTTAGAATTTAACGAAAGACGATGTTCGGATCATTTTGATTCAGAAGGATCATGAAGGGATACCGGGTGTCCCGAAAGTTTTTGCCAATCGCTTTTGTATAGATAGAGCGGATTAAATTGAGTCGAAAAATTCTCTACCATTTTGCAATGCACGCAATAGTTAACGAGATACTGATTGTTAAAGATAGCCGAATAAGCGCGTCCATTCCCAATGCCAAAGAGTACGCCCATTGATTACTCGGCACGCTGACCGCAGGGAATGGAAATATAATAGCTTGGCAGGCGCACCGGTCAAGTCATGACATGGTTAATGACAATAAATAATTTATATAACATGAAGTAATAAATCTTACTGCGTCTGAAAGTGTTTGTACGGAAGAACATAACACAAAAAATTGCGTTAATGTACCGATTCCAAATATAGTGACCGAAATTCCTTCTGCAATATTCATTAATGGTACCTGAAAATACATAAAATGCTTCTTAGAAAATGGCAAATAAGAAATATCTTTTGGGAAAAAAATATTATTTCTCTTTTCTCATTTGACAAGCTTCAACTTAAGTGTTTTATAGATTAAATAAAAATCTATTTCTAATTTATGTAATATGAACAAAAATAATTTTAAAAACTTTAATTTTGTGTATTCACTAAAAATTCATTAATTTCTTAAAATGAGTTATCTGATAAGTTAACACATTTAACAATAAATGTGATTAATTAACATCAATCAGAGTTAATAAAATTATTTTTTCTTTAAAATTAACGTCATTATTACTCACTGTGCTTAATATGATACCTATAAAGCAGAATCGTAATACGTTATTGATGTACAGTAGACTGAAGTTCACAGACAGAAGTTTCTTTAATATAAATGACATGCTATAACGCAACACAAAATATCATAAATAGTAAACCGCGTATTAAAAAACCTATTATTCTTCATTAAAAATTGTTGTTAAAAACATCCGTATAAGAAATAAGATAATTGATCACTTTGGGAGAGGCCTCTTCGATGACCTTGATAACATATGTCAAGATCAAAGTAATAATTGGAGGCCCTCCTAAAATAAATATTTAGCAGAAATAATAAGATTTATAGTATATACCGGATGTTCAAAATAAAGCGTTATAAATTTTTATCTAGGAAACGACATTGAAAAAATTATTCAGAGAAAAGTTGTAGGATTCGAAAAAATCTATTTACTGATCTTATCAGTTTGATTTTGAGTGGCATCGCTAAGATCAGATCAAGGTCACGTCGATTTTTGGAAACGGAACACTTTACTTTTGATTTCAAAGTCTAATAACCGATGTCGAATACTTTCTAAAATATATAATACTATAATAAAGTTATTTTTTCATTAAGTACTTTTTGAGTTATGATGCTTGAAAGTTTTAGTACCGCCGGCATTAGTATTATCCAAGATGTCCAACCAAAATCTCCATCAACCAGCTAAAATCTCTCGAATGTTGTTCAGAATCGTATCCTCGAATGTTGTCAAGATCAAGGTTATTGAAAATTATTGCTCTTATTTTTATTTTTGCACTAAAAATTCATTTTTACGTAAAAATGAAAATAAAAGATACAATCTCCTGGCTTTGATCTTGACAATTAGTATCTAGGACATGATCCTGAACAACATTCAAGAGGTTTTAACTTCGGTCAGACACCTTGGGTAATGCTAATGTCGGCGGTACGGTAACTTTCAAGCATCTTAACTCAAAAAGTACTTAATAATAAAATATTTTCTTATAGCGTTTTCTAAAAACTCTCGAGTTTTCTAAAAGCTGTTAGATTCTGAAAACAAAAGTAAGATTTCTATTTAAAAAAATTGATGTTGATCTTGACCTGACCATGGCGACGCCACCCAAGATCAAACTCAATAAGATCAGTAAATAGACTTTTTTTTGAACCCTACAACTTTTGTCTAAACAATTTTTCTCAATAATGTTGTGTTTCCGAAATAAAAATTTGTAACGCTTTATTATGAATATCTAGATTTATATTATTTTTTGTACATATAAAATAATAAAAATATTATTCTTTCTTCTGTTATCAATGATCCATTAAAAACCAAAAGAGAAAGAATAATTTCAATAATGATCAAATGCATTTTTTTTTAATTCAATATTTATTACGGTGATCATATTATACGTACTTTAAGACGATATTCTGGTGCAGACATAATTTTCGTAGTTCTCTCTCTATCCGTCTATTTTCCATAGGATAATGTTCTTTTCGAGATTCGTTGTAGATTTGTAGATCCCGAAACAATATTGCAAGCTTTGTTGCAGTATATCTATATTGTGCCGTTAACATTAATACCAAATGCATCATATACACATCCATGCCGAATTTTTTAAGAAATAAATAAATGGTGCCAACTATCTTTAAAACAGTCGAAGAAATCATAGCATTATTGGAGAATGGTTCGCTGCTAAAAGTAGCTAGCAAATTGCAATTTACATAGAAAAAGATGAACTTCTCAAAGACCAATATAATTGGCTGCTTGGCGTGATATATTATAATAGATATCATGCTAATCACTCCGTATATTATGAATGGTACTATTATGGGTTTTATTGCTGACTTTATGATATCCTTCATAATTTCGTCTGTGTTTTGCAAGATAGTGTTCATCTTCTGAATCATTTCCTCCATCAGCCTCTTGTGTGAATAAAGACGTGTAAGCATGAATAATGCCTCTATTGTGAGCAAGATGGTGTGAGTACTGCCTTTCAGACCATTCTCCTTTGATGCCATGATGATTCCGAAAATCAATGCGATTGTATGAGTTAATTGTATTAGCCATATAGCGGCACTATAAGTACGCCAGATTACTGAAAACCGCAAATTATCAGATGCTATCGGTAATAAATTCCCCGAGAGCATATTCACTCGACTGTTTAATAGATTCACATTTTCGAAATTCATTCTTTTCATGTATATATATATATATATATATATATATATATATCTTTATACATCTTTTTTTATACACATCTATTTTATAAAAATGTTTATTGAGATTGATGAAATGCAGTGATTGCAAAGATTTGAAACTTCAATTGTTTGAAACTTCCAATAGTATCTGTTACACGTGCTGCTAAAGGTTTCACATCCTTTATAAGTAAAAATGAGCGAGTTTTCCTTTATTCCGAAATTATATTTAACTCTACATTAAGGATTTCATTATTCCCTTTATTTTTTTCTGTTTATCAATAATATATTATAAGTAGTTGGCGAAGAATGACTTTCTTTCCTTTCATTCTGTTTTCTTCGTTTATTCTACTTCTCTATTATGTTTGCCCTGTAATCGTTGTGTAGATATATCAAATATTAAATATTATCAATCCATATCTTTGACAAAGGTAATGATTTTGTGAGGTTCTGCATTCTAATATAATAGAAACATGTAGAACCTTATAAAGATCATCAATATATACTGCGCCATAGTTCAATGAATGTGGAGTTAGGTTCTATTTTGTGATACTGTGTATATCAAGAATGAATAATTATTACATTCCTTATAATTATCTTAATATCGCGACAATTATCTTATATTCCATCATTATAGAATTTGGAATCGAGAGGCTTTGCAGAACTTGACACATGTTGATCAAAATACAGAGTAACATGGGGAATTGCAAACATGGGATAAACGCGAACAATGCTATTGCAGTATATTAGAATATAGTGATAAGTTCTCATTTCTCGCATCCGGTAATAGCCCGATACACTCAGTGCTTAGGTATAATATCATAAAAATAGCGTGACTATAGAGTATACACGTTATCTAAGGTAAATATTATTACTTGTTTTCATTGTTTTTATATAGGATAGAGAACTGAAAACTTAAAGGAAAAGTTAAATACAGCCGATGATTTATCAAGTGTAGGAGATATCCAAAGAATATCGTTTTAAATAACAATAATTAACATTTATGTACATACTCTCATTATAAACATAATTTAAAAAGAAATTAAAACTTGATTGCAAGAAACTATAGATTACATGAATTTCATTTTTTGTTTAATAGTATATACAATAACATATTGATATTATATTATAAACTGTATATATGCGAATATATGAATGTTAACTATGCAGTTTAAAATCAAATAACTGGACTATTCTTCGAATAAAGACTTTAAGATAAAAATGTAGATTAAGGGAGCTCCCTTCAAAAACCTTGACCTTTCCTTGTGGAAAAATGTGTCCAAAATTATCCGAAATGTAGTCAAAATGTGTCCGAATTCGTCCTAAATGTCTTCGAAAATTGTTTAAATGTACAAATTTGGACAGTTACAAATAAAATGAGATACTTTCTTTCAAATTTCTGTAATACTGTTAGAATTTTTCATTTTTTATATCTTTCGGACAAACTATGATAATTTTTTTTCTACCGGAATTAACATATATTATTAAGGCCATGACTCCGAGTGACTTCCAACAGGTTTTATCCGTTGGATTATTTGTAAAAAAGTTATAAACAAAGAAGTTTAAGAAGTAATATCTTATATTTTTGCTATGTACAATTTAGTACTACTATACCTCTCTATATTACTATATTTTTTTCTACTTATAGCATAGTACGATAAAAATCGACTGCTTTTCCTTCCACGAAAAAATCAAAGAGATTCTGAAAGTAAATGGAAAAAAAATATCTCGGCGTTTTACCAGAGCAAGTTGTTAACCTTTTTTAAATATTATCAAATATCTTTTTATAATACTATACAGCACAGGTTCCTTCCCATGAAAAATTCAAAGAGATTTTAAAAGTAGATGTTAGGAAAGCATATCCTTTTCTCTACTAATTTACTTCGACATTGTCGCGATCTAAATAAAAATTTTCTAGGCAAAAACCCGACAATTACAAAAAATTTATTGTTGAAATGATTTCGGCTTTTTATGCAATGAAAGTTAACATATCGCTCAAAATACACTTTCTTCAATCATTTGATTTTTTTCCATCAAATTTGGATGAATTCGGTGATGAACATGGTGAACGCTTTCATCAAGATATTGCAATCATTGAGAAACGCTTCAAAGGAAAAGACATCAAACATATGCTTAATGAATACTGTTGGTCTATTGTTCGTGATACAAATCCGGAATCATACAAACAGCAAATCAAACGATCAAGATTTTTATAATAATTATAATTATTATTATTATAATAATTATTATTATTATACAAAAATTTGAAAATATGAAAAAAAATAATTCTTAGTTGTTTTTTTTGTATTCGAAATTATCGCATAATTTGATATGCAAAGCGTCAATTATTTATTTTAAAAAATTATTATATAATTTAAAACAATTGTAAAAAGCCAATATGATAAATGGCTGCATAAAAAACGACTTGATCTGGTAAAACGCCGGATATTTTTTTTTCGACTTTTAGAATCTCTTTGATTTTTTCACGGGAGAGAATGTGTGTTATATTCTGTAGCATAACAACTTTCCACGAGAAACGAGGTCCACTCCACCTCCTCCCTGCTAAAAGACGCGCGACTTTCTACGCGAAGCGTGCCTTAGGCAGGGGGACAGGCGGGATAGACCTCGCTTCGCGTGAAAAATCGTGCGCTCCTTTATAGAGGGAGGAGAAAGGGAAGGTGGGATGGATCTCTCTTCGCGTAGGAAAATGTATGTACGGAGAAAAAATGTAACCTAACTCAACCAATATTTTAATATTGAATGATCCTCGTTTTACTTTGTAAGATATACGCGAAACGGAAACTACCCAAACTAAAATATGGGTTATACTTTATGAATCAGTGCCCTCCGAGGGAGAGCGATACGTACTGCCTTCACGCTGAAACTCGTTTCACGTAAAAAGCCATTGTACGCAGGGGAGGGAGTATGTAACTTTAGCCTCCCTTTTTTCGAAAATTACAATTTTCCAGATTGTTCTCAATTTGTTTTACATTATTCTAAAACGATTCTTTTATTCTGAACGGTTCTCCAATAAAACGAAAAATGATTTTTTTTGCTGCCCCCATTTTTGAAAAATCAACAATTTCTTCTCGCTACAGATTGTTCTAATTGTTCCAAACATTGTCCCAAAAAAAACAATTCCGACCGACAAAACCGAAAAATGTTTTCTTGGCCGCGCGACAAGAGGCATGGGAACATTCTAGTTAACTTTTTTAAATAAATTGAAATAATCATATACCTCTCCCATTAAGAATATTATAAATCATGTTAAAACACGATAGTTAATGAGAATTATTTATGATTTTCTAACGTAGCCCAGAAAAATTAAACATTTTTTGCATTTTGGAGGCAAAATTTTCATAAAAGATTTGCGGGAAGTCAAAATGACGTATTATACAGCATATTGAAAGTTCTGACCGTCAGCGAATTTAGAAGACTTTAAGGATTCAAAAAGCTGATAAAAAATGCGATTTTTCAAAAATATCTCAGAAAGTATTTATTTTATCGAAATAAAGGTCATTATCAAAAAAAGCTGATAAAATTAGAAACAATTTCGTTTTATTTTTAACATCCTACAATCAATACTTTCTATAATAGAATTTTTTAAAGAATGTTGTATTTTTGATCATTTCGAAGATGAAGCGATTTATAACACTTTTTTCGTAAATATCTCGGATCTGGCTACTTTTACGTACAATACTTCTTGAAATTGTAGAAATTACTGAATTCCCTAGAAAATTATTTTTTACTCATCCTTGTACGACCAATAGTTTGCGAGGTATGATTTTTAAATGTTTCCTTTTATTTTTTAACTAAACTTTTCTTTAAAGTTTTATGTAAATATCTCGACTATTTCTATGTAAAAAATACTTATTATCAAATCAAAAGATTTTTAAATTCTCTACAAAATCGTTTTTTATTGAACCTCATACGATGAATAATTATCGAGATATAAACAATTTTCTCAAATTGTAATACATTTTAAATTAAATAACTTGCTTGTGACTTATTATATGTGAAAAATGTACATAAATAGTCTTAAAACTTATGAAATTAGCTTGAAAATGCTTTTCTTTTTAACCTCGTATGATCAATAATTCCCGAGATATGGTGTTTCAAAGATATCATGGAATTCTCAGTTTACTTTAAAATATGAATTTATTTATCAATGCAGATACGTAATTAGAAAAAATAATATTCGTATTTTTCTCAAAGTTTACATGTATTTATATATGATCCTAATTGCGTACCACTTTCCAAAATTTATTTTTGAAAAAACAGCTTCAAGAAGAATTATCTTTTTTCAACATTTTCTAAAAAATTGTGTTCTCCGTTACTTTTTTATATATTTCTCAGTTCTTAAAGGATCAGCGTGAAAAGTAAGATGCACGAATTTAAAGCTTAGAAAATTTCCAAAAAAGGTTTTTTTTTCTTTTCTGTCT